GAAGGCCGCGCGCCATCCACCTATGCCAACCTTGATCCTATAAAGGTTTCAACTATTGAGTAAATTTACGGCTTACTTTTCCAGCGAGTTTACTTGCCAGTCAACCAAAAACAACCCATTTCGAGAAATACCTTACACATCCGTTTAATTCTTTTGTGGTTTCAGAGAAGGAAAATTAAACTGACCATAACGTTTTCCTTACGCAAGTTTGTTCGTCAAGTTTAATTAAAATTCCCAAACATATTAGATCTTTATCATTTGCGGTCACAGTTAGAACGGTATTAAATCGTAGCGATGTCTATCTGATGATCAACTGGCCATGTCTAATTTGCGAGAGAGGAAGTCGATTAAGTACTCTAAATATCAAAGCAAACGTTTATGCAAACAGTACTTTCATGTGGTATAACCATGGCACATATTGAAGATCCCGGCGAGACTGGAATTTTTTTATCCTTCGCACTTATTGCCTTGTTTGTTATTATTATTATCAACTCCAGAAATGTTTTTGCATTCCGTCTCTGATTGGCTTTGATCCATTGGGACATCGCCTATTTCGTGTTAATCAGCTAACGCTGGAGGTTTGTTATTATCTCCTTATTTTTACTGACGTCAATGACTGACGCGGTTGAGGCAACCAAGCAAATTATGGACTATCGACGACACACAAAATGGTGACCTTGTTCCCAGGGTTGGTTGTGAGGATTGCATTGTATACATCTATTCCGAGAAAGGTTTTCGGAAAAAGTGCACGCGACAATCCCGAAAGGTATTCTGGGTGGTTTTGAGTTCACTGTTCTTCAAAGAAATTTGAAAGAATGTCACGAGAAGCTATAGAGGACTTATGTTTGCGAGTGCTAAAGGAAACAACAAAAGTAGGTTCGACAGCTACGGTGTCAGGAACAGTGTATTGATCATATGTCATATTACCTGTCGGGAATGTCAAGTACAAATTTTTTTTCCCGACAATTCAAAATAGCTGTATCACAAAAACAGAGTAAGGTTCATAAATCCTCCTTTAGATCTCTGGAAATATTTTGAATGTGTAATGAAATAATTATATTGATTGTCTGCAATAGGCGCTATTGTTGACGTACTCAACACTGAGATAGAGTTCCGCTAAAAAGTACATTAGACGTTTTCTCTTTTTATTTTATTTTCTTGTTGTGTTGTTCTTGGTTTCTTTACCTTAGGCTTGTCTGTGTGTTCCTTTTTCTCAAAAAAAAAAAAAAAAAAAAAATAGATTCTCTAGCTCAGTTACCATGGTTATAGATGTTCAAATCATGAGGTTATCCTTTGCCCGGAGATAAATTATGATCCGGGTTTGTGTTTCTTTTGTTCAATACCGTTTGCACGCTAATCTTAGAGCCTGTATTTAGTTTCAGAGAGGAAACACGTAATAAGCATGCGTAAACTTTTTTCGCCAGATCCCTTGGCCGGGTTTGAAAAAAGGGCGGGATTTCAAATACATTTTTGCCTAATAATAAAACGTTTCCACTCTTAACCTGGAAGGAACAAGCAATTTGTCTCCAAAAGTTGGAAGCTGTGGCTATAACCTTCTCATGACTTAATTTTCTCGAAGAATACCTCATAGTAAAACCGCGGGTTTAAACGACATTAATTTCTTTGCGTTGTACTGGAAATGTGCAATCAGCATATATATAACAAAATATCTTTGTACAGTGATCTGCCCCCCAAAAATAACGCATGCCCACTGTGTTTGAAGTCACCGAACTTTGTCGCACTCAAGCTGATATTAAACCCATGCTCGATCGGACACTTGTAGCTTCGCAGATCACTGAAATATAAACAAAATCCTCTTTGTCAAGTTTTGGCGTCGAGCGGATATGTGGGCAGATAAAGAGTCAATCTTTATCTAGTAAAATATTCCCCCAAATCGGTTTCAGAGCAACAGTACTATTTTTTTTTTAACTCGATCGTTTCGAGCACTAAGAGATAATTTATAAATTATGCTTTTGTGTTGTCATGCATAACATCTGTCCAGAACCTACGCGTGAGCAGGATTTCCTTCAAACAAAGTTAAAATGACATTAAGAAATGAATTTTGTTTTGTACGTAAACAACCTACCTAAAGGTCTTAAAAGCAAAAGCTCAGTTGCAGTGAGCTTCTCAGCCAAAACATGATTCACTTTTCAGCTATTTTTAATAACTCAGTAAATAACTGGTCCATGCGAGGATCTTCATTCAAGCAAATTAAACTCAGCCAATCAATTAGGGTTTTTGTTTTGCTGGCCTCAGACAAATCCAGCTCTGGACTGCAATTGTTTACGGGAAGAGTCAATTTTTTTGAAGTTACTGCCGGCAGTTGTCGTTCTCTACTTCACAGCGAGTGAAAAGGAAAATTTGCGTACAGAAAGTTATTTCTTAATGTAAAGAATAGAAACTTTCACAGTCCACTGGAAACCAAAACTATGTAATTAAAAATGATGAAAACTCTAACTATTATTACTTGAGCAACAGAAAAATGATCGAAGTAGTCTTTTCTTTTCGAGTAAGCTTGCTGGTCTTTTACAGGCTTCAGTCAACGCTTTATGGAAGAGTAGGGAATACACTAGTTGAGATATATGAAAGGCAGGAAAATCTATCATTACGGTCGTTTCGAGAAGGCCCAAGAGAATTAACAGATACTTTGTATGGCTGTGAAAAAGTCGAAAAAACGTTCTGCTCATATTTTAAAACTGAATAACTTTCAGTTAGTAGGGATGTAAAGTTTTACCCCAGTTATGTGAAAGGGGTACCATTGGTCAATAGAAGGTATACGAAAGAGGTACGTTTTCTATCAAAACCAGTATATAAAAGGGTAAGGGCATAGACCTTGGGGCGGAGCCTCTCCTTATAAAACTTAGTTTAGTACCTCCCGGAATTGCACTATTCACTGGATCATGGGAGATTTATCCGGTGGATAGCGCTATTCAGCCTTTGAACAACCGAGGCCAGGGGTAAGTGATCGAACCTTCGCGATCATTACAGGTCAAGACGGCCTGCCACCGCCACGTAAGGGTAGACGGTACAGGCTATGCGAAAAAGTAGTATCTTGTGTATGTAGCGAAGGCCAAAGTATAAAACAGCGGTTGAATCCTGAAAGACTTTGTTTATTCAAAAAAGTATATATTATACAAACAGAAAATTCCTTTCATTCAAGTTATTTATCTCTTGTAAACCTATACAGGTCGCTCGATTTCTTCTGCCTTATTTAAACCAAAATTAGGGCGAGCTTACGATAATGATATCAGCCAATTTGTCAGCTTATCAGATTTACGTTAAACTTCATTTTGCAATTCCAAATATAGCTGACCCTGGGCTGAAAGTGCCTCAATCTTACAGTCTACAGACCCCTCCAGTGCAGACAAGTGTAAGATCTATGCTAGTTTAGTTTTGTTCCGTGTTTAAGGGCAATTATATTTCCGATCCGCTGTGTTTGATTCACGAAGTACGTGAGTTTAGATGTGCCTCATTTTAATCACTGTTTCCGTGGAAACGGACTTCTTTAATAGTATTATCCTTCTATTTCTATTTTAGTGACGGTTTAATTGATTGATCACAGAAGACAAAAATAAATCATATACTATTTGCTTGATTTCTAAAGTTATGATTCAGCCAGTATATGAAGTTAAATGAACTAAACAGACGATATTGGGTTTCCAGATTGGGCTTTTTACCTATTACCAAAGTGAAGACACGCAACAGGCGGTGCTGTTTCTTAGATTTTAACCTTGTGTTTTTTGGGAATATGCCCATACTGGCAAAGTCGTTGAGATATTTCACAGACAATTTTGCTTTAAACCGGGTTCACTAATAAATTAGCCTTTCTTGAAAAATTGGCTTATGATTTGAAATAATATCGCTTGAGGCTTTAGAGGTTATACTTATTGACCAATTAGCAAGACGGTGGATATCAAAGGAATGGAACCGCCCCTACCTTCAAAGTTCGAAATGTGATAAACACTATAAACAGCTGGTGTACACCATATATCTTTCGTGACTTTAATAATTTCCAAAAAGTTCATCCATTAATCCAATTCTTCAAAATACAATGCTCACATATGCATGTTAAAAATATATGTACATTTTCTTTTAATGAATTTCCATATCTGAACGACGTAACTACGCTGAAGGTTGGAAAAAACTGATACATGCATGTAAGCACTAAAATAGATGCCCACCCTTTCAGTAACAGTTGGTATTTACAACTGTTGGACAAATCATCTACAAGAAAGTCATATCGCCTTTAGCTATCATACTTCAGTTCTGATCGCGTGATAATTGCTTGAGATGCTCATGATTGTTTGTTCGTGCGTAGTAGCTGAAAAGTTTGTTTATTTGACCGTCGCGTACTAAAGATCACGTTCATAAAGCGATAACTTGGAATTTTCTATTTGATTTCTTGAGAAAGAAGGAGCTTAATGATAAACCACTTCATTTTATAGTCTCCAGTATCAGTGCCAGACTCCAATTCTTAGTTTTTGACTAATTTTTATAGTCGAGTGCCCTTGTGACGTTCTTTGGGGCAAAATTCAAGAAGTGTAACTAACCTTTTACTTGTTGTTTCGTTTGGTCTTTATGGGATATGTGAACCGCAACAGACAACTTTTACGCAGTCATTTGTTCACCAAAAATCGAAAAAAAATTGTTGGCCCATAATATTCCAGGGCACTAAAATAGTTGCCAAGTTTGCTATCACTTCGCGACTGAGAAAGACCCCCGGTTGCCTTAACAGGCAACTGAAAACAGCAGCAAGAGTCCAACGTTCGAATTGACCATGCACTAATTAGCGCCGTAAAATTTTAAATGTCCGAAACAACAAAGAGGGCCTGTTTTCCTTTTGAAGCTCCTGAGTCCTTGAGTGGCATTAATGTTTCTTCCTGCCTTAAAATAATTGATTCCTTTGTTTTTAATTTCAGAGTTTCAGCTTCTCTTCCTCTGTGGCAAACCAATCTGCCTTCGGTTGAATTCGATCGTTTGACACTTTCTCTGACTGCATTATCATCAGCAAATCTTACTTTTCGTCTCTGAAATGGAGACTTCGCTGCGTCACTAAGTTGCTGAAGAGAACCAGACTTGATAAGAGCAGGCGATGCGGTTCTTTGGACTCCAAATCCTAAAATCCTAAAATCCTCTGACCTGCTACGTTTTCTAACCGGTTTTTGAATGGTCTTTACTGTTTTTGGCTCCAGATCGAAGTTGCTGGGTTCTTTAGTAAGGTCTGGATCACTGTTGCTCAACATACCATCTTGCAGCCTTTTGATGTTGTGGAAAATAAGAGTAAAGGCCTGATCCATTTCTTTGTCATACCTGTTGGAATGTTTTCTAGATGGGTGATGGCTCATATCTTTTGTGGGTTTGAAGTCTCTCATTGCGGGAACAACATCCTGTATTTTGCAACCTGTTGTACGAAGCTGCAGATTTAAGGCCACACAAGTATCTACACATTTGTTAATTTTGAATGATATCTATTGATCACAGCATTTATACCAACGAAACGCTGTAGATTTTTTTAATTAGTATCTGCCAATCAGAGGTGAGATTTAACAGCACAAAAGAGTTTAGTCAGTCATGTGTGTGACATATGCATGATGTTTGGTCCAAGTGCCATCGATCGGGTGCATTGAATTCTACATGCTAGAGATAATGATTTTGCTCAAGAACTTCTGGAGAAACCGACTCCATCTTGATCGAGCTGCGCCTAGGGCCAGGCGATGCTACAGTTTAAGTTCTGTTCTTATGTTATGATTAATGACCTTACGCAAGGTCGTCGGCAAGGGAAAAAGGAAAGGCACAAAGCCAATAGCTTAAGCTTGCACGTGCGTCTTCATTAATTTGTTACATTTCGTTGCCTTTCGCTGCCCGCAGCTTCCTAGCTATTTTGATTGCATAACTTCAAAAATCAAAGTTGTGGTATTCAATGCTGTATGCAGGGCTTGAATATCGGAGACCTTACCAAACTGTGACGCCGGAGCTTAGGCAACAAGGAGGTCAAAGAATTCGAAGAACTGTTCAGTTTATTGAGTAAAACAACCCTGCACGTGTATACATCACGCTTTTATGTAAATTTCTCAGCCGTCTCTAACAGGCGCAACTTTAACTTAAACTGGACCAAAGTTCAAGTTCTTTTAAAAGCGTAACGATATGATTTACTGTACCTACACGTATTTATGCCTGTTTTCACCGACGTCGCTGTATTTTGTGGCATTGTAACTTATCATAATCCCTGAGTACCACTTTTGGCCCCGTAATTCCCGCTATTTCAGTTAACTTAAAAGCTGTCCCTACAAGCCCGTCTAAGGCAAATTTACCCCATTAAATAAAATGAAACAGACTGCCATTATTTAAGGTAAGACTGAGAGATCAAGTACTTGGTAAAACTAAAGAGTTAAATAGAAGTAGTCGCGTAAGGCAAATTTTAATTAACTTGGTCCGAAAAAAATATGGAGTTATGACTTAGTTTTCATCATGGAAAATACACTATACGATTTCTTTACCAATTAACAATGGTTCACACGTAAGCCAAAGTTAAATTGCCTCTCTTATACTGCTTGCAAAGAATTCTTAAATTTTGATTCCATTGTGTTATTAGTATTATCATTATTGCTTAGTTATTTATTTTTGGTTAAGGCGCAAGCATACTAATCATAAAATTGTAATATATCCGCGAAACTGGTCTAAGTTTTCCTCCTTCTGGCCTACTCCAGCATCTTACGATCTGAAAAATTAATATTTGAAAGATATGAGGGGAAGTTACATGGCTGAGAGTGATTTTGCTTCTTCGAATTATTGCTTTTATCCAGCATAATTATTTTACATTTTTTTACTTTGTAGTGTTTTTCATTAACCTTTGACATTTTTATTTTCTGTTATGCACCTGCGTACGTGCTTGTCAGGTAGAGACGCCCCTACCTATTTAAGGACGTAAGCAACCTCCAAGTAGTGCTGTGTGATATTCAGTTTGCTATTTCAATCTCGCCCTTAAATCCCTGACATTTTACAGGTCTCCTCCCCCGAGCCGCGCGAGGTTTTACAATGAACATCTTTTCAGTTTGCAACGTTTGGCGCGAACCATGAGGAAATTTATAATTTTGACAACTTCCATGTTTCATTGTACTTCTCTAAATTAACTCTCAGCTGATATCCGTCTCCAAAACGGTCACTTGAAAGGTGTCCTTCGAGGAAAAGTTGACTTGATGAATTAATTCGTTAAAAGTGCCACTCATGTCCTTAGCAAAGCTGTGGCTGGTTTCCAGAGGCCAATTGTTTTTCAATTTACGCTAGGGAACTCAGAGTTAATCAGCCCTTTTCATTCCGTGCTCGTGTCCCTGTGGTGACCTCTTTTGCTGCGTGTTTGGGAAACATCCAATCAAACTTCACGCTCTCATTTAGCGTATCCGCATCATGCAAGATGTGGTCATACTTGTTAATATAAGCGGCATTTGTCAGCATTTTTTAGAGCTAGCCTTTTTCATTTTAGTCTCTGCCTTCTTTCATTCTTTACTGATACAGATTTGTAAAAAAAGTTTTCTTTAAAAAGAAAACAAAGAATCAGTTCCAGCGTATAAAAAAATGGCAAGACTGAATGAAACATGCTTCTGATCACGGACCTTGGGAGGGCTTCCTCTGCTAGCAAAAGTTAACTTTGGATTACTATTCGCGATCGGATCTAGCCTTTGCGGGTTTGACGTCACTTCAGGCATAAAAGACGTTCTTATTATAACTTATTTTATGCTTCTTTTTTTCTCATATGTCGTGCAATAAAGATACAGCCACTCACCGAGATGGGGAACGAAAGTTGATTTATGACTAAAGTTAGCTGAGTCGTGTTGTATTCCTTGTAATTTATCTACCTTTTTGCCCGATTCCCGTCGATCTCAACGATTCTGTTATCTTCTTCAGAGCTACCACTTCTAAAGTGTCGAGTTAGCGTTGACCTCAAATATATTTATTGAGCTTGGTTTGCCTTTTTGAATGTGGTGCCTGCTTTAAGTACTTTTTCTCAATGCGTATTTTCCTTGAAATATCAGGCTTGTGGAAGCCCTCTTCCCCCAAAATGTACTATGATGGTCGATATAGCCAACAACCGTGTCGAAGACAAATGGTAGCATATTACATTTATTTATCTGAGTACTTTTTTCTTCTTTTATTAGATCAACGTACATGTAACAACGTCTTGAACAGTTCACAATGGTATCTGACAATTCAGAAAGGTAGCCAATAAGGCTAGGGTAAGCAACAAGTGTCTAATGGGTTCCCAACAAATAAGCATTAGAGCCTTCAGGCGAGTGTGGTTTTAAGTAAGAAAAAAACTTAACTCATAAGTGGCATATTTAGTTCATTCATTCACTCATTCAAAGAAAAACAGAAAACATTCCCTGAAGGCAAAGTATGACGAAATTGCAGACACCCAGTCAATAGTATGCATAACAATTTGCATTTGTTTTCAAAAAATATGTTTGCCAAGCTTTCTTGTTGAATTAATTCTAAATGTTTTCTCTATGAATGATGATGAACTGCTGCAAAAGTGTCTCAGTTGTTTCAGAAGAATTCGTCTGCATTTTAAAAGATTTTCTTTATGTTACATACCATCATTTTTCTTGCTAAAGTTTCCTTCGTTCTTAAACTTAACCCAGCAGCCGTAAAGCTGATGTCAACTTTCCTTGGTTACAACAATTGCAGGACGAGGTGGCTGATCTGACCAAGGTCTTTTTGTTAAAGGTGGACGTCTTACGTCCTCCTTTCTTGTAACGTAGTCGTCGGAAAATCGGACTTTTCTTGTTTCTGCTGGACAAGCAACTTCACCACAGTGAGAGCGCGACTTTGGGCGCGTCATGTTTGACTGAAGTTCAATTAGTGTCCTCATGTCTCCCGTATACCTTAACAGTGAAGTATCTGATCTACTTCTTTCTCTTCTCAAAGGCACTTCCATTGTGTTTGTACAAGTAGTTATCTCCGACTTGCCTTCCGCTTGTTCGAGTGTTGTCGTACTGTTCGATAAATGGCCGTCTTGCAGCCTCTTGATGTTGTGAAAAATAAGAGTGAACGCGTGATCCATTTCTTTGTCATAATGACTTCGTTTTCTACCGCAGCTGTCCACGTTTTGAGATCGGTGATGATGTTTCATGACAGAATGTGTTGTATTTCGTCTTTTGAGGCTTTAAGTTGTTAATTAAGCAAACTAGCTTGTTTGTTGTGTCACGTTTTCATAATAACCACAGCTATATGAGAAGGCAATCTACTTATATACATTGTTTATATAAACAATGGACTCTAAACTAGGATTACGTCATTAACAGGCTCAATTGTCTCAAATACTGCATTAAATTACGCGGGTCTATTGTTGTTCTGTGAATAACGTACATGCCACAAGTTTATGTTCATATGTTTACTGAACCTATCATGCCCTTGCCACCGAAAGTTTAAAATTATCAATTTATTGAATTTTGCTGCAAAAAGTTAGTACAGTAGAGAGTATAGATTTCTTCCTGTTGTGTAACCCTAGTGAGAGCTGTTAATCGTCTTTTAATTAATCATGATTATACTGACTGTTCAGGGTCATATTACACATACTAGGTAAACCTCAGTTATTTGGTTCATGATACTTCAACCCCATACGTGATGCCATTTATCGTAAATACGAAATTAGCAACACCGTATAGAATCCTAGTTTACAAAATGACGTCATATCGTTAGCGGGTTTTAAGAAACTTTTTTTTAATTGTTATTCACAATTGAGGTCGGACCAATACTTAGAAGAACAACCATAATAAAGTATAAAGCCTGACTCACGCGAACTTCACAAAAGGAAAAGCAGTTTATTCATTGTGTGTGCAGTTAATGAAGAAGTTACTTTCTCCCAATGAATCATCTCATACTCCTTTCTCAAATTATTATCTCCTACAATGAGAGCATTGAAGCTCCGTTATCTTAGTCATGCTCATTTGATATTTCACCAACAGCATTTATTTATTGATTTATTGATTTATTCATTTATTTATGAGTACCTAAAGGATCTAATAATACAATCACATACAATCTTAGATCGGACGGGGAGAGGTTACTTGAGGATCTTAGTGCAAGAGGATACTTGGAGACAGGGTTTTCAAAATTGCCGCCCCTAGAATCGGGAACACTTTGCCGAAGGACATTAGGAAATAGGACAATTATTATATTATTAAGAAACAGTTAAAAGACTTATTATTTTAAACTTGCACACAATTTTTAACTAAACATAGGTGTATATAAATTTTACTATCTTTCTTATTCACTTTAATGAAACGTATACAATTTCTTTTAGTTATAATTAATTTTTAGTAATAAGTGCAGAGTAAATATAAGTAAGAGATCATATACAGATATCTACAGGGTGTCCCAAAAGTTCGTTCCTCTAATTTCATGCTCTATAACTTTTGATCAAAACTTTATTTTTGCATGAAATTTCTTGAAGTTTATTTCTCTATAGAATACATGATGTATTCAGAATTTCAGTAACTGCCATGCCCTTTTCGTTTTTCTATCATTTTCTATAGCCTTTGCGGCATCCAGTGGGATACAGTGTGTAGACCCACAGATGATCCACTGATTTTGAGCTTTTTTATCGCTTGGTGCGCAGGAGCCAGTTGAACTGGAAAAAAACATATTTCGGGTATTTATCCTCAAAAGGTACAATCATCCCGGGTCCCTTGACAGCGAGGCTTTTGCATGTACTTCTTACAAATTTGGGGCGAGGTGGGCGCTAATTGAGACTAAGCAGAGGGTTTTTTTTTTTGCCAGCTCAGGGGCCTCTAATTTAAAACATTCGCTTTTCATGACCCTTTCTGGACTTGGCTTGCTAACTGTGTCAGAGTTTCCTCGTCGAGTCTCCTATTTTGTATCTAGCCTTTTTTAAAACTATTTTAGCTGCTTTATTTAGGACTTTTGGTCTTCCTCTTCGTTTCTTGCCTTCAAAACCTTCATTTCTCCATGATCATTTTACCTGCCAACAGTCGGATTTTTCCAGTTTTTTAGCGGTTTCTACAACAGATGAGCCAGTAAATTGAAGTATGCATGCTTTTGCTCTCACGTAGCTGAATGTTTTTACGTTAAGGGGGTTTGTCTTTCGTGATATTCACAAAAAAAAAAAAACAAGGAAAGAGTTCGAGCAATTCGGGCTATAAAAGACAAAAAATATGTGGCTGGAAAATATGCTCGCGCAAGCGCACATTTGGCGGAGAAGAATACATATCGAATATTCGGGTCAAAAGATGGCACAACAAGTATGAAAATATTGAAATAGCTTGAAAGACACAACTGTTGACTAAATGACTTGCTTACCAAGTCCAATCGTACTGAAATGCAGTCTTATAAAGTAGAGGAACGAACTTTTGGGACACCCTGTACGTTTACATTTTAAAGTATGTAAAGCGCATTTGATGATTTGATATATTTTAATTTGCGCAATACCAAGTAATATTATTATCATTATTGTTATTATTATTATTATTATTTATGTCTTTAGTGAGTTAGTTAGGACAGTTAGTTATTTGGTTAGTTAAAGTTCGAGTCCTGATGATTCTATTACTTTCTGACATCTGTTACAAAAGATTGTGCGTTGGAGATTAAGTTTAATTTTGTTTTGTATTTCCTTCCCTTTATCATAGTAGCGAAATGGTATCATACAAGTCTATATCCGTCAATACTGAATTAAAAGCTTTTCCCTGGTTCTGCAAAGCGTGATTGTATTCATTCAGAACATTTTAAGCGAAATTTAAACTCCTTTGAACTCGCGGCAGTTATTTTGTAATTTAACCCATAGAAAGTGTGGTCTATTGCTTTTATAAAATAACTTTTAGTTGAATGGAGTCTTTTAGGTAAAAAAATATGGTTCTAGTACTGTGATCAAGTCACGTCTTCTCTCTAAAGTCATCATAAGCCAATCATGACTCACGATTTAATAGCGTTGAACTTTCTCAAAACTCAGTTCAGTCAAACAATAATGCATCAGTCAATTCCACATGCGCCCAGCCCCCCCCCCCCCCGGGCTGACCCCCGGGCATTAGCATTTTTTTTGCCTTGGATGGCAAATTCGTGGGGGTGGGGACTCTTGAGCTGTCAAATCCCCTAGGGTGGGGACGAAAAAAGAGGGCAAATGCCCCGTCCTCCGTCAACACTGCAACATTTTTTATTGATCGCACAGTCAAATAGTGCGGTTTTAAGCATTTTAATGTGCGATTTTTTGGTTTAATTAACGTCTTTTTTTGTAATAGCGCGAGGATTCTAATTAAGACTTCGCGCCGCGACGACATGCACCAGTTTATGGTTTTAGTGTTGGTATAAAATTATTGACCTTAAAATTAATAGAGCGCTGTAAAGTTATATGTTATGAATAGTTTTATAAACATGAAAGGATGTTCTTCAAATAATATCAACAGAAATTTGATCCAATATCCAAAAAACGGTGATTCACATCGATAGCTCCAATTTCGCTACGTAATTCTGGCTTGATGCTTGCTTATTTCGAGCGAACTCGAACTCCATTAACTAGCTTCATCCATTCCTTCCGGTTTTCCATAATGTTCTTCAGTTCAGCTATGCTCAAACCAGTATCATTTTGCAGCTGGTCTACGTATGTTAATGTTGGTCTTCCTCTCTTTCTTGCGCCGTGCTTTGGTTCCCAGAGTAGTAAATCACTTATCACCTCATCCTTTTTTCTCCAACAGTGTCCTATGAACCGCAGCCTCCTGATCATCAGTGTATCTGTAATCTTAGGAAGGTTGCCGTACAGTTCTTTGTTGGTTTTATGCTCCTTCCAGGAAACTCCAAGAACTGCTCTGAGCATTCTTGTGTACGTACCATCTAGTCTATTCATCATCTTTCCAGTCATCGTCCAGCATTCAGCACCATAAAGCAGTACACTTTCAAGTGTGGCCCGAAAGAAACCTATTTTGAGATGATTTTTTAGGTTTGATTTCCACACTTTCATCATTTTGTTGAGTGCACTCCAAGCTTGTCCAATTCTTATATTCATGTCCTTTTCACTGGATTGTATCCACGAACCAAGGTATTTGAAGTTATCTACTGGCTTCAATTTGTTCCCTGCCAGTGTGACAAGATCACCTACAGGTTGATTGTACAGCATGTATTCCGTTTTCTTGTAGTTAACATGCAGACCCACTGTTTTTGCAGCAACCTCCAGTCTTAATAAGAGAAGTTGTGCCTCTTCAAGATAGTCAGAAATTAGGGCAAGATCATCCGCGAAATCAGTGTCGGTGATGTATGTTGCTACATGACGGGAGCTCTGCCGTGGTGTGAGAGTGAACCCAGTTTGTGTTTCTCTAGTAGCTTCTCTAAGGGCATAATCCAAGGCTATGATAAATAGGAAAGGTGCGAGTGTGTCTCCTTGCAGAACTCCCGCAAGAATTTCAAAGAATTCCGTATCACCATCAGGAGTTATCACCTGTGCTTCGGTGTCCTTGTAGAGTATGCTGATGGCATCCACTATCTTTGTTGGAATTCCATATGCCTTCAAGATCTCCATCAATTTCCCACGATGTATCGAATCAAAGGCTTTACTGAAGTCTACGAAAGTCAATATTGCAGGAAGCTGTTTTTCTTTTATTCCCTCTATGAGCCTACGCAGAGTTGGCTTGATAAGCAATGAAAAAATGCATACATACATGTAAAATCGAGAACATGCCGTTACAACCCTCTACAATTTATTCCTGTCCTTGACAAATGAGCCAATCTGCTTTTCTTCCAGTAAGACCTTCTTTGTAGTTATATTCGGATAGGAAACCGCGTGCGTGTCAAAAGCTCGGGATTGGCCCGCGGGTTGGCAAATGCCCGGCCCCCGGGCAGTGCAACATTTGCAAATGCCCCACCCCCGGGACTGACAAGGTGGGCAAATGCCCCGCAGTTGCCCGGGGGGGCTGGGCGCAGGTGGAATTGACTGATGCATAAACAGCAGCACTTCAAAACACGAGTTTTTGCACTCATTACATGATAACTTATGAAAGCTGTTGTACAGGAAAAGTCAACACATATTCATGCGAACGTACAACGAAAGAATACGTTTATGGTTTGTTTATTACAGAAGTAGAAATTAGTTGAACATCAGACTGTACGTATTTTGTTGGGTCGATCCGTTAGAATTTTGTAGTTACAGACGGAACTGACAGCTATTGTAATGGAGGACTTCGTTCACTTTTCACAAGCCGCAGTGGTTTAAGATCTGTTTTCTGGACTTTATTATGATTCAGAAATGCTGCGGTAACGACGTGGCTGCATTTGCGAAGTTGTCGCATGTAACTTTATATGCACGTACAGCGACCGATGGAAATATGTAAGTGGTGGAGAAAGGTTTCTTTGCCGAAGCCACATATTGGCGTTAATATTTGTCGATTCGTGAAGTCAGGTGGCTTGAGGTAGGTTATGGCATCGATATCACCGAATTATTTGTGCAAATGTTGGAAAAAACCAGCCCGAAACTCTGACATCTTTCATCATCGTTGGCAGCTTGTTTACAACCTACAGCGGCCGATTTTGTACCATATCTTGATCAGAGATCTCTTTTTGGAACAATTTCTTTCATTAAGGAATTTAATTTTGACAAAATAAATCAAGAATGCTAAAACTATCCGTTTTGTTGCTGGTTGGCACGTGGTTAAGTTTTCCTAGAGACTTTCTACACCAGAAATTCACACAGTTGTTGTCTTTCTCTGCGATTTGGCATCGTGGTGAAATGTACACTGTTTTCCAGCTTTGTACTTTACAACTTCTAACACCGTATGGCAGTAGCGAATTGTGACGCTCAGTAATAAAATGTGGAAACCAACGCTTTTAATATTAAGAAGGGCTGGGTAAGTAACTTGTTCTGTTTTTCAGCCTTTCTAAAATCGTTTTTGCAGATCAATAGCAGGTTTTGTTTATGGCTCGTGGTCTGGATGCCTTTATCTATGGGTTTACCGGTTTAATAAACCATAGGTTTTTGACCAATCAGATCACGCGTACTATCTCAGTTATTTTATAACATGAAATAAACAAGGTCTAAACGCGCCTTGCGTATTTAACAACAATATAATTTTGATGCTAATTATTTAAGAGCAATCTACGGTTTTATGACAGTTCAACATTTTTCACATTGCTTATCCTCCTTTCCGCAAACGTTTATCCATTTGGCGTTCTTTACAGGCTTTGGATAGAGCCGCTTGGTATTAGGATCAAATGCAATTTTCAAGGGAAGATATTCAGCATGTAACACTCCATTTCTGAAAATAACATATGAGATAATTGAAATTCAGAGATCAATTTCTACTTCTTTCACAGTTTTCGTTTCGTTTTGTTTTGCTTTTTGTTTTTGCAAGGCGTGCACGCCGATAAAAATGATGACCAGAGAAAAATGGCGTAATTACCGCGGCATAAATATGCTTAAAACTAAAAGCAAAGAATGACTGCCTCAATAAACTCATATAAATTAATTGTGAAGTATCAACAGATGATCGGCCAATCCAAAACTTTTTCGCCGGTTTCATCCATAAATTCATTTTAAACAACTTCAACTTCAACTTCATTTTAACTTTTTGAAATTTCTTTGTTTGTCACTGCAGCAAAACGGTTATTAAGCCCGACCATTTGCTCGTAACTTACGCCAGTTTGACGTCGTTCGGAGGTGGATAGTATACAACTATCCCCCGAAGGGGAGGTGAATAGTCGTGCATATATCTGACCTATGAACTGACCCTGAGGGGTATAATTGTTTTAGTATTTACCAAATCAGTTGGATGAAAATAAGAAAAGTAACTTTTTGTAAATAAAAGACGTCACTTAGTTAAGAGTTTGTTTACGTTTCAATTGACAGTGTTTCGGGGATCATCTTTTTATGATTTGTTGCTAATTCAGTACTCGATTTTTTTTTCTACCAACCAGTACACACCGACAAGCCAAATTTTGTCCCTTTCTTGGTAATGGTTGGTTCAGCTGCTTCATTTAGCGCTAAAATTTCATACTTCGAAACTGTCGCGAAACGAGAAGTCATTTTGAATCCCGTCTCAAAACAGTGAATATTCAAGGATGTTCCGAGTTACGGGAGCCAATCAGAACGCGCGAAAATTGCTATCCACTGATTTGGTGAATACTTACTAAAACACTGGATATCCGGACTTTAAGTATCCAAGTCAGAGCACGCGAATATCCACTATTTTTTTTTAGTATAAGGTGTTTTTGCTTTCTTACCCACGAAGCACTTAAGAATTCATATGTCTGAACTCGTTTACACGTGTCCGTGCGTTCCAGATCGAATTAGAATTTGGAATTGTTGGTTTTTGAGGAGAGGGGAAAACCGGAGTACCCGGAGAAAAACCTTTTGGTGCAGGGGAGAGAACCAGCAACAAACTCAACCCACATATGGCGTCGACGCCGGGATTTGAACCCGGGCCACATTGGTGGGAGGCGAGTGCTCTCACCACTGCGCCACCCTTGCCCCTTATACATGTATATACTAAAAAAAATATATTGTGTATTGGTGTATTGTGTGCACCTTGATAAAGTTGCTTTCAGCATCCGAGACATCTTTATGTCTTCGCAATCTTCCAAAACAAAATGTTCAAAGGCGTCAATGAGATTCTGGTCAGATTTCACCCCAAGTCTTCCGTACACATTCTGTATAAGAACAAAGACTGGTTAGTAAACTGTAATTTGTCAGCATCTAAACCTAAAGAGATCTCAGTGAGTGGGTATCATAATTTGATATTCCAAACGATAATTTGTACGTATTGATGTTTAACTGATAATAACCCTGATGATGGTACAGTCAAACCTGTGTACAATGGTCACCCTTGGGAATTGGTAAGGTGACTGTTATATACAGGGTGACCGCTATATACAGGTTAGCTTTGCAGAAACTGAATATAGAAGGCAAATGACAATTTGTGACGTTGTCCGGTGACCGTAATATACAGGGTGACCACTACTTATCTTAAACACCAAAACGTTCCCTGTCAAAGCCTTACACTTGGAACCTCTACTAAACGACCACCTCCTGTAAGCGACCGCGACCACTTTTTGAGCCTGAAAGTTTAATGATTTTCTACTGTTTTTAACTTCTTGTATGTTCTGTGTGGACTTTGCTACCTAGAAAATACGAAGAACTTTAGTAACAACAAGGACGTACACATGGCGTAACTTAGAAATTGTATGCAATATATTATCTACCATAAAGTGGATCTGCCCAGACCTCTTCTTGGAAGAGGCCCCCCTGTGGTTCGATTCTTGTAAGAGACCACCTCCTGTAAGCGACCACTGAGTCTTTGCATTTTGGGTGGTCGCTTACAGGAGCTTCGACTGTACATTGAAAAGAACTATCTCAGTCCCAAAGTGTAAATTTAGCCCTGGAAGACAGAGTCTAATTCAGCCTCTCCCTGGAGCCTTTTGAGCACATCAATTTAATCCAAAACAGCGTCTGATCGAAAGCCTATTCCACGCAACGCTAGGACTCATTTAAGCCCGTGGGTTTAAATCTGTCCTAGCTACTTGGACTGTATAGACTGTATGTTACTTACCCGAACAGTCCAATTTTAATACATTTTTTTAAAAATGTACAGTCCATTTACCAGGAATTAACGAAGCGAGAGATTGGAAGCCTTGAAATCCGAACAGAGCAGTTAATTCAGCATACTTCACATACCAAGAGCGCCCACCTGCGCATGCGTAAAGTACGGAAGATAAAAGAAACGCTGTTGTTCGCCATAATCAACATGGCTTCCTTGAGGTCAACTGCAAACCAGCAAATGGTCGTGAGGTAGAAGAATACATGTATTAGGC